AAAAATTAGCTGGGCGTGGTGGTGCATGCTTGTAGTCCCAACTACTCAGGAGGCTGACGCAGGAGAATCACTTGAACCAAGGAGGTGGAGGTTGCAGTGAGCCAAGATCGTGCCACCGTACTTCAGCCTGACAGAGCAAGACTCCATCTCAAAAAAATAAAAAATAAAATTTATTGTCAGAGATTCTGTTCTTTCGAATTGTTTGAGCGAAAACATCCTTTTGTTAAAAGAAATGATGGTGACAGGAGATAGTGGTGTGATATTTGTTTGTATTGGCCATACCTGGTAGAAATAAAAAATCAGGCTATGCACACTGGCTCAGGAGGTCAAGAGATGGAGACCATCCTGGCCAACATGGTGAAACCCTGTCTCTACTAAAAATACAAAAATTAGCTGGGCGTGGTGGCACAACATGGTGAAACCCTGTCTCTACTAAAAATACAAAAATTAGCTGGGTGTGGTGGCACGTACCTGTAATCCCAGCTATTCAGGAAGCTGACACAGGAGAATCACCTGAACCCAGGAGGCAGAGCCTGCAGTGAGCCGAGATCACACCATTGCACTCCAGCCTGGGTAACAAGAGCGAAACTCCGTCTCAAAAAAAGAAAGAAATGAAAAGAAATCAGCATTTCTATTGCAGCCTCCTAATTTTGGGAACATATTTCTTTAGAAATCTAAAGTCTGGCCCTGAACATCATTATGGCCCCAAAATAATATGAGACTTTACACACAGATAACATATGCCCCTCAAGAGTCTCTCTTTAACCTCTACCTTATTCTGTTTGGATTAGGACATTTGGGGATATGAAATGAGAATAAAGTTGAGTATAAGCAATCCAAAACCATGTGCTGACACTGGACCCTGGAAGAGGACTCTCTTCAGAATCTTTTTCATCTGTTAACTTTTCTCTGGGCTCAAACTCTTTTTCTTTTTTTCTGAGACAGTTTCGTTCTTGTTGCCCAAGCTGAAGTGCAATGGTGCGATCTCGGCCCACCACAACTTCCGCCTCCTGGGTTCAAGTGATTCTTCCGCCTCAGCTTCCTGAGTAGCTCAGATTACATGTATGTACCACCACACCCAGCCAATTTTGTATTTTTAGTAGAGACGGGATTTCTCCATGTTGGTCAGGCTGGTCTCGAACTCCTGACCTTAGATGATCCACCCATCTCGGCCTCCCAAAGTGCTGGGATTACAGGTGTGAGCCAAGTGGCTTCAAACTTTCTTATTTATTTATTTATTTGAGACAGAATTTCGCCCTTGTTGTCCAGACTAGAGTGCAATGGTGTGATCTCGGCTCACTGCAACTTCCATCTCCCGGGTTCAAGTAATTCTCCTGCCTCAGCCTCCGGAGCAGCTGGGATGACAGGTGTGCACCACCACACTCACCTACCTAATTTTGTATTTTTAGTAGAGACAGGGTTTCTCCATGTTGGTCAAGCTGGTCTCGAACTCCCGACCTCAGGTGATGCTCCTGCCTCGGCCTCCCAAAGCGCTGGTATTACAGGTGTGAACCACCACACCCGGCCTGGGCTCAAACTATCTTTTCCTAAGAGTCCCATCTTTGGGACTGCTACATGGCGATCACTACTCAAAAGACGCTAACTTGAGGTGTTCAATAATCAGCTTTCATTTAAAGTCTCTTTCAGCTTGACAAAATAAAAACTTTCAATGTTTTGTCAACCTTACAAATGAAAATTAGTCTATATATGTATATATGTGATTATATATGTATATATACATATGTGATTTTGATCAGCCTGTTTATAAACTATTTCCAAAATAAGTTGACCTGTAAATTCATTTATTAAATGAGTAGTTTATAAACTACTTGATTTTTGCAAGTAGTTTATACACAGGCTGATCAAACTGAACAAATTTCTTTTTTTTTTTTTTTCCCCCATTTATTTATTTTATTGCATTTTAGGTTTTGGGGTACATGTGAAGAACATGCAAAATTGTTGCATAGGAACACACGTGGCAGTGTGATTTGCTGCCTTCCTCCCCATCACCTACATCTGGCATTTCTCCCCTTGCTATCTCTCCCCAGCTTCCCACCCCCCACCATCCCTCCCCTATTTCCCCCCAACTGACCCCAGTGTGTAGCGCTCCCCTCCCTGTGTCCATGTGTTCTCATTGTTTAACACCCGCCTATGAGTGAGAACATGCGGTGTTTGATCTTCTGGTCTTCTGTCAGTTTGCTGAGAATGATGGTTTCCAGGTTCATCCATGTCCCTACAAAGGACACAAACTCATCGTTTTTGATGGCTGCATAATATTCCATGGTGTATATGTGCCACATTTTCCCTATCCAAACTGAACACATTTCTTAAAATAATTTCACTGTATTGATAGCAAGTAAGTTATTTACTCTTATTAGCATATCTTATTTTTACCTATTATTTAACAAGCATCTAAGTTAAACTGTTTTATGTCCACAGCTACACACTGAAACAACACTATCAGTCGCAACATATTAAATTCAAATTTAAACCATAAAGAGATCCAGTTACCTTCAGTCTTACATGTACTTATATATACTTTTAATATACTTCTTGATGTTTTATGATGCACAAACACGCAGCTCTTGCAGGATATATAACTATGAGTATCTTTAGAGTGTATGCTTATTAAATGGTTCAAAACTCTCTTGTTTTAAAAAAAGTCAATTTTAAGAACTTAAGCATACAGTAAAGTACTCCTTCCATGCCCCAATGTTAAAAGGCCCATTTATTTTAGACTACTTGTTTAAAAAAAAAACTAAAATTGGTAATAATTCTGCTTAAATTCCATATTAACCTAGGATCAAAAGTTATTTTTAGTTCTTGTTTCTTAAATACTTGAAATATGCTGCTGCACGTTTTCCTTACATATTTATTCAATTAACTAACTTCAGGTGGAAGGTATTTATGAGATTAAAAGTCCTTTCCCAAAGTGAAAACAACATAAAAAAATTTTGCATAAAAGACACTCAGTGTTTCTCAAAGGGTATCTGAGAGTCTAATCAGCCTATTACCTTGGTTCAGAATAACCACCAACAAGAAATGTGAGCTTTCTGTCACATCTATGTATTTTCCTCTGTAAACTAATACCTACATTTTAAATGCATTTTCTTTCTATTTTTTTTCTTTTGTTTTTTTTTTAAAGACGGGGTTTCACCATGTTGGTCACGCTGGTCTTGAACTCCCGACCTCAGGTGATCCGCCCGCCTTGGCCTCCAAAGTGCTTGGATTACAGGTGTGAGCCACCACGCCCGGCCTAAATGCATTTTCAAAATATTCCCCCTGTAAAAAGCTACAGGATTTTGGTTTAAGAGCAAATGAGAGGGCGGGGCGCGGTGGCTCACGCCTGTAATCCCAGCACTTTGTGAGGCCGAGGCTGGCGGATCACGAGGTCAAGAAATCGAGACCATCCTGGCCAACACGGTGAAATCCCGTCTCTACTAAAAATACAAAAACATTACCCGGGCGTGGTGGCACACGCCTGTGGTCCCAGCTTTTCGGGAGGCTGAGGCGAAAGGATCGCTTGAACCCAGGAGGCGGAGGTTGCAGTGAGCCGAGTTTGCACCACTGCACTCCAGCCTGGTGACAGTGCTAGACTCTGTCTCA